TTTTTCCCCGTGATGTTAAACTAGAAAATTCTCTCCACGATTTGATAAAATGTTAACCCTTATTTTCTCTTAGCACACTTTCGTAGTTTCGTTTTTTCACTGAAATCTTTAAACCATATGTAATTTATTCTAGTGTGAGCAAGTGTGATTTACATTTTTTTTCATTTTAACTGTTAGGTGATATGTCTTCTTAATATTTAATTATTCTGATCACACTATGAAAACAGGCAAATTTAGATAGAAAGTTGGAGATAAGCATTAAGTTTTTATTTTTTTAATGTTTATTTTAAGAGAGAGAATACACGCGTACATGAGAGCACAAGCAGGGGAGGGGCAGAGGGAGAGAGAGAGAATCCCAGGCAGGCTTCTTGCAGAGCCCTATATGGGGCTCGATCCCATGAACTCTTGAGATCATGACCTGAGCTGAAATCAAGAGTCAGACACTTAATCGACTGAGCCCCTCAGGTGCCCCAATAAGCATTGTTTTCACACTGCTTTGAAAACCACTGGGGATTCTGAGAAGGCTTTAAAGGATTTGACATGGGAATATAGAAGTAGGAGAGCAGGGAAGAGCTGGGCAAGTATGTGGGCATTTGTAGTTCCAACTTCTCCCAAGAACTACAGACTTATATGGTCAGCGGGGCACCTGCTAGGCAGATCTTCTTGGGTAGCTAATAATAGGCTGTTTAAAATTAACATGGTCAAAACAGAATTCTTTTTTTTTTTTTTAAGATTTTTTTTTTAAAGTTTATTTATTTTGATAAAGCAGGGGAGGGTTGCAGAGAGAGAAGGCGAGAGAGAATCCCAAGCAGGCTGTGCACTGTCAGCACGGACAGAGGCTGATGTGGGGCTCAGCCTCATAAACCACGAGATCATGACCTGAGCTGAAATCAAGAATTCAACACTTAACCGACTAACCCACCCAGGCGCCCCTAAAGATTTTATTTTTAAGTCATCTCTGCATCCAGCATGGGGCTCAAACCTACAACCCTGAGATCAAATAGTTGCATGCTCTACTGACTGAGCCAGATTGGCTCTTCAAAACAGAATTCTTAATGCTATCCCTACCCTAATCTGCATACCTGAGACCTTCTCATCTTAGTAAATGGTGCCATTTCCCACCCAGGTGTGCAGCAGGAAAGTGTCATAGCTATCCTTGTTCCCTCTCTCCTGCCCACCTTGAATCTAATCCATTCTTAGGTTCTGTAGGCTTTCTGTCCAAATATATCCTGAATCCGACCAGCCCTCATCATTTCCACTGTTAAAACATTAGTTCTGACCACCACTGTCTCACCTGAGTGTCTGCCAAGCCCTCCTTGCTGATTTTCTTGATTCCTGTTTAGCTGGAATCTATTCCACACAGTAGTTTCTACAGCCTAAATCAGGTCATGTTATTCTCCTGCTTAAAACCTTTCAAAGACTTCCCACACTTCAAATCCAAACCTCACTTTTAAGAAGACATCGTTGTGGTCTGGCCTCTCTTGCCTCTCCAGTTTCCTCTTTCTACACTGTCCTCGTTTACTTTATACAAGCTCACCTGGCCTCTTTCTATTCCTTGAGCAGCAGCTTTTCTTTCTTTGGATCTTTGCATTGGTCAAACCTTCTCTAGAACTACCCAGAAAATACCCCAGTGTCTTCTTAGAGAGTCTTTCCTTGATTACCCAGGCTCACGAAGAAACCCCAGACACCACCTCCGGTCATCACTTACCTTGTTACCCTACCTCAGTTTCTTTGGAGTGGTTCTCTGTATGTGAAATGATCATATTTATTTGTTGACTTATTTATTAGCTATCTCCTCATTCTGGAATATAAGCTCCCTAAGAGCATGGACTCTGTTTTGTTCCCTTCTCAATTCCCTTAGCCCCATGCCTGGCTCATGGTACTGGTGGTGGGTACTGTGTAACCATTTGTGGCGCTGCTCCCATCCTGTGGCCCCTACCCACACTTAGCCAGAGCAGCTCAGCTTTTATATTTCAAGTTTATATGAGGTTTTGTGTACAGAAAGTTTTCTTGCTTAACAGAAGTTTGAAGATAATTTCCTTAGGAGATAGGAATTTAAGGATATATGAGAAAGAAAAGATTTTAATTTGACATTTGCCAGAGTATTCCATTTACTTCCTAAATGTACTGGCATGTCATTCCTGACTTTTTAACCTGAAGGGGTAAGCATGAGAACAGCATAATGATTTTAAACATTTCTTACCCAAGAGTACTTTTTCTTTACATACCGAATTGCATACCATAGATGGTATTTATCCTATAATTAAGAAGATTATGAGACTGTATCCTTTTATGTTTACCCTTTTTAATGAGTGCCTCCTGAATCCCAAGCCAAAGCATGTATATAGCTTTATTGTGTAAATATTTGTGTTCTAGGTGTGTTATTTGTATAAATGTATATTCCCCTTGATTTGTATGTGTATGTGTAGTATTTGTGTTTTCTTTTTCCCCATTAAGTTGTAAACACTCTATTTTATGACTTTTTTTTTTTAGGTTTATTTATTTTGAGAGAGAGAGAGAGAGAGAGAGAACATGAGTGGAGGAGGGGCAGAGAGAGAGGGAGAGAGAGGACCCCAAGCAGGCTCCAAGCTGTCAGCATGGAGCCCAACATGGAGCCTGACACAGAACCTGAACTCATGAACTGTGAGATCTACCTGAGCTGAAATCAAGAGTCAGATGCTTAACAGACTGAGCCACCCAGGCGCCCCTCTAGTTTATGACTTCTGTGCTTCCTTTTTAAGTCCTCACTGCATTGGTATTCTGTTTGTACCAGGTTGCTGCTCCCTTAAATGAGTTGGTTTTTGTGACACTTGTCTTGTGACAGTTTTATGTATTTTAGTTTTTGGCTACTGTGTGAATTAGGAATTTGTCTTAGTTGTATTTTAAGTTTTATTACTTTCTACATTTTAACCAGTAAATACAAAGAGATTGCCTTTTGTTTTTGCTTTATGTGTTTTCATGTTATTGGGAGCATGCAGTTTTACAACTGTTGTTTTCATTGTGGGTTATGAATCTTATGAAAATAAAATTTCTTTTTTTTTATCACATACAGCTTTTTCCTTGAAATTGTGCTTTATTAATTTAGTGACTCTTCCTTGCTTTTTGTGTTTTTTGATAGATCTTTACTCATATTTTAATCTCTTTTATTTTAGGTACATTCTGGCTAACTTGGCCTGCTCTCCACAGCAGCCTGTTGTTTGATAGATATAATATTCTTTTGCATTTTATTGTTTCTAAAGCAGGTATCTTTTAGTTTAAAAAATCACTTAACAGTTAATTTTTTTAAAGATTGACATATAATTGACATAATATTATACTAGTTTCAGGTATACAACATAATGATTTCTACAGTTAATTTATTTCAAAGGAAAGTGGTAGATTTCATTCCTCTGGACATTTCTTGTTGCTTTGGGTCCTGTGGGATATTTTTGTTGGCACCATTTTTTGAAGTTTTTATCAAGGAAGGGAATTTCATATATGTCTCAGGGTTGAGTGAGAGAGTGGCTACATGTCCCTGAGTGCAGCATGTTGACCTGCGCAGACTTTTGGAGAGAAGAGGAAACAAAACAAAACAAGCAGTGGGCGAAGCAGTAATGAAAGGTATAGGCCAGGAGCGCCTGGGTGGCTCAGTGGGTTAATCGTCCAACTTTTGGTTTCACCTCAAGTCATGATGTCACAGTTCTGGGATTAAGCCCCATGTGGGGTTTCATGCTGACAGCGTGGAACCTGCTTGGGATTCATTCTCTCTCTCTCTGCCCCTCCCGGACTCTCACAATAAAGAAATAAACTTAAAGTTTAAAGAATAAAATAAAAGGTGTAGGTCTGAAAAATAGGGGACCAAGGTGATTATCAGACTAGATAATCAGCTCCTGGAGAATCAAGCTCATTTCCTTTTTTTTTTTTTTTCTTCTTTCCATTTTGTGTTTGCTCAGAGATCACTTGTTTATATCTTGGAGTTTGCAGTCTTTTGAATGTTCTGAAAGTCAACTTGATAATAAATTGATTATAGTCCTATCATCTTTTTATGACTGATACACTAGAGAGAAGTTTAAAGTGAGTCATTCAAGAACTTCACCCCTGCTTGAACCTATGTGTTCGAGTGCCTGCTTTATCCGAGGTTGAAGCATTTTTAGTTGGCAACTGATTTTGTGTAAGCAAGTCATTGAACAAGTTCACCATTCCTTGTTCTTTTGAAGCATTAATCATCTTCCCTCTGAGCTCTGGAAAGGTGACTGAATCTTGAGCCATTTGGCCCTTCACTGTGCAGGAAATCCACCCTGCTGAGGTGAATGCATGAAATACTTGTCTCAGTATAGATCTGAGAACTGGTTTGTCTCCTGTAATGCACAGATTGAATTCCTTGTCTGTTACTAAAGGGTACCCTTTGTGTCCATTTATAAAGAGCTGTGATCAGAGCTGTAAAAGTTACCATATAAATGACGTGGTTAACCTATTAAACTCTTGCTATTAAACTCCTGCTATTAAACTCCTGCTGCTTAATGTAATTTTCAAATATTTTGAAATAGAAATGTAGACTCTGATCAGAGAGCTCAGGGACCAGTTTTTGAGTTGTGATGAATTTCTCTGTTTTCATTTTTTATAGTTGCTATCCATTTTAGAAACATTCACTCTGCCAAATAGGTTAGCAGTGTGTGCAGAAGGACATCTTAAATAATGTGCATGTTTGCTGTTGAAGCAGATGCCTCTAAGTAAAGCTACCGGATCAAAGAGGAGAAAGAGTCCCATGTAATATCTGTTAGAGACTGTGAGCCCTTCGAGATATTCTTTGTTTCCCATTCTAGGATTTAATTTTCTCTGTCTTAATAAAAGATTTTGATTAATTCTGTGTTAGTAGAATGCTGATAATGTGTAGTAGAATGTGAAGAAATGTGATTCAGTAATAACTTTTGAGTTTCCGTGTGACTGCTTATCTAATCTAACATGTATCTCCTTTAAGAAAAGTGTCTGTGGTTAAGGTCAACTCACAGGTCAGACATTAATCTTGATTGTCAAGTGTTTGCAATCACTTATGGAGACTAAAGAGATCTTGATGGCACTCATCTGAGTACTGATTCTGTTGAATAGAAGACAGTCAGGGCCTTGGTCTCTTTTGTGTTGCAGTTCTTATGAGGACCTGAAAGAATGAAAATTTCCAAAGATGGAATAGCATGATTTATGAGAGTATTTATTAAAATACAGGTAATATGTTAAAAATTAGCTTTATTTAGTTTAATCTAAGGTTAGTTCTTAGAAACTGATAAAATGGATACTTTAAAATTTGCTAAGCTTTAAAGTCTGGATTTGTGGGTATTTCTCGAGAGTATCGCATAATTCCCTTTGATTATTTCAGAAAGAGTGTTGTCAGGATGAAATAAAAATCAGTCATTCTTTCTTTTTTTTTTTTTAATTTTTTTTTTTTCAACGTTTATTTATTTTTTGGGACAGAGAGAGACAGAGCATGAACGGGGGAGGGGCAGAGAGAGAGGGAGACACAGAATCGGAAACAGGCTCCAGGCTCTGAGCCATCAGCCCAGAGCCCGACGCGGGGCTCGAACTCACGGACCGCGAGATCGTGACCTGGCTGAAGTCGGACGCTTAACCGACTGCGCCACCCAGGCGCCCCAGAAAAATCAGTCATTCTTTCAAACCAGGCTTAATTGGAATGGCATATAAAGGGGAAAAATATCAATCTAGAGACAGGTGATTTCTTAATTCAGCTTTTTACTCTGGTATGAACAACCGAAAACCCACAGGGTCATTTTGATTGTTTTATAACTATAAAGAAGTTTTTACATGGTAGTTATGTTCTATTCCTCTTGAATTCTCGGTTAAGTAACTCCTGAGCTGTTGGCTTATAAAAATAGGCTAATTGAGAGATACTTTCTAAAACTAACTTTCTTTTCTTTCTCTAGTTAACCTTTTATTATGAAAAATTCCAACACCTACAAAAGCGAGGGGAGTATAAACCCCATGAACCATATCCATTACCCAGCTTTCGTAACTGTTAACTCTTGGCCAATCTTGTTCCAGCTATCCCTCCAGGCCCCACTCCAGATTATTTTGAAGCAAATTCTAGACATCATATCATTCCATTAGAGTGAGTTGCTTTTGATAGTGACAGGAGAAGTCATTTTCCCTGTTGGCATTAACACAGATGCCAGGGGCTGAATAGAATTTATAAGAAGATAGACTTGGCATTGAAGAGTTTACCTTTTAAGAAAGGTGCTCATATTTTCACTGGCTATTTTCTTCAAGTTTCTCTTGTCTTTCAACCTGGGGTGTGTTTGCAAAGTTCTTAAGTTCTTATCTGTTTGGAAATTCCCATAGCAAGTTCAGGTTTTGTCATCCCGTGCTGTTTTGGCTGTGCCTTATCTAAGTAGTATTGAGGGAAGAAAGAATTATTTCACTAAGAGTTGGCGTTGAGAGGAGTTAGATATATTCAGTATATTAAGGAGGTGCCCCTTAATGTTGTAATAATATACTGGCTTTTAAAGGTACATCACCATAATAGCTCTTAAAAAGTACAAATAAAACGCTTAAAAGTGATCTTGTGTCCTTGCCATCAGCGGGACAATTGAATTCCTTTTTTGAGGCAAAATAAAATTTTCTTTCAAGTACCTGAGATCTACAAGTATTAGTTGACTCATCTTTTGTTGTTAAACCTATTCATTTCCCAGGCCAGTGTGTCTTTTTATGTATGTTGACCTTGCACTTTAAACTGAATTCCTTTCCTTTGAATGAGGCATAAAGCTGTCAGTTCATGTTGGTTAGTGTGAAAATAGAATTTTTACTTTTTCGGTGATTTCTAAATTTCAAGTGGTGTTCATAATAGTTTTTCAATTTACTCCTAAAAATAAAAGTAGATTCAACATCTTAAATAGAATTTTTGAAGTGTTTTCCTTCTACAACTAAAGCGAATTTTGCCTTAACTATTGAATTTTAGAGTTGAGTTCTTGAACATAGGTAACTGTGGGGTTCACGTTTCTATTTTATATTGTTAACAGCGACAGGGTACTTGGTGATTTGGCTGTATTGGATGCTGCAAGTACTGGATTGAGCTAGATCAGGAATCTAATTTGCAGAGTGATTAAATATGCCTCTACTTCTCTTCAGTGGCCAAACAGAAGTAATTATATTTACATTTTACCGATTTCACAGAGATGTTGTTAGAAGTACTATAATTAGATTTTTTTTTTTTTAATTTGCAAAAATATTTGAACTGCTTCACAGATAGGTGCTATATAAAAGCAGGGTGTCATTAACATCTCATTTTTCTTGGTTTGTGCTTTTCACACTAGAAACATATATTACCATTTCTCTTTTTGGGTACAAGTTCTGATACATGTTTTGAAATTTGTTCTCTTAATGTTTTTAGCAGCTGGGATAGTATAAAAGCATTCTCGTGTCCTATTTTTAGTACACAGTGATGAGTCTGGATAGATGGCTAAGTTAATGGCAAGGCAATTGAACTGTGCTAAGTGCTCGCCTGCGTATCTCTCTGGCCTCTCCACTTTCAGGGTAGAGTTACTGTTTACAGTGACACGTTTCGCTCTCTCTGACTGAGAAGTCTGAATCCATCTGCCTGTTGCCTGGCTACCTTGAACTCAATTTTTGTCTTCTTTCCCTCTATTCTGTACCTTAAATTTCAGGATGGATGGTCTCATTGGTTAACTGCTTCAGGGAAGCAGAGTGCTAATAAAATCAGGATGAGATTCTTCACATATGGGGCAGGGCATGCTCCGAGAGTCCTAGAACTAGTGAGTGAGCAGATCATAGACTAGACTGCAGTTTTCCTGGGCCCCCATAGTGTGTTTATGGGGAAAGTTGTTCTCTTTATCTGGTGTGGGTTTTTGTTTGTCAGTGGCTAATATGGTGGATTTTTCAACACCACTTGGACATGCTTCACGTATATTTCACCGAATATTCACTTTATTTTAGTCCTAACCATAGCTGGTCCAGTCTTCTACTTAATTAAGTTTAAAGAGTTTTAACCTCAGTAGTTAAACAACTTAGGCACTGCTTTGCTTTTCCGTAGGAGATGCTCTGTGATATATTTAGGTTTCCATGTTTCTAATTTGTAGAATTTGGAGTAGGAGTGGTAGTTTTTCAGGGAACAGGACTGATTCTCACAGGGTGGTCTCCTTTGTTACATCATTTTGTTGACCAACTCAAAGGGTTAGTATCAGTTTCAACTGGAAATGCATTAACTTTTAAGAAAAAAGAGGCACTCCTGGGTGGCTCATTCCTTTAAGTGTCTCTTGTTTCGTCTCCGGTCATGATCTCATGGTTCTTGAGGTAGAGCCCCACATTGGGCTCTGAGTTGATGGTGTGGAGCCTACTTGGGATTCCCTCTTGTGCTCTCTCTCTCTCTCTCTCTCTCTCTCTGCCTCTCTGCCCCTCACCTGCTCACCCATAGGCACACTCTCTCAAAATAAATAACTTCAAAAAAAAAAAAAAAAAAAGAACAGGGTATCTGGGTGGCTTAGTTGGTTGGTTAAGGGTCCAACTCTTGGTTTCACCTCAGGTTATCATCTTTTGGTTTGGTTCGGGAGACCGAGCCCTGTGTTGGACTCCACACTGGCAGCAAGGAGCCTGCTTGGGATTCTCTCTCTCTCTCTCTCTCTCTCTCTCTCTCTCTCACTCTCTCACTCTCACTCTCACTCTCACTCTCACTTTCTCCTTCCCTCTCTGCCCTCCCCTACATGTGTGCTTTCTCTCTCAAAATAAAATAAAACAGCTGAGATGGCTTCTTTTAGGACAGTCTTCAGATACGTAGACAAGGACAGTCAGTGGATTGTGAATGTTATTCAGTGGCCACTCATTATATCATACGACTTGAATTGGAATCCTGTGGCCACCTTGCTTTTAAAATGTTCTTAAAAACAGCATGGGGGAGGGGAAGGAAAAAAAAAGAGAGAGAGAGAGAGGGAGGGAGCCAAACCATAAGAGACTCTTAGAAACTGAAAATAAACTGAGGGTTGATGGGGGGTGGGAGGGTGGGGAGGGTGGGTGATGGGCATGGAGGAGGGCACCTGTTGGGATGAGCACTGGGTGTTGTATGGAAACCAATTTGACAATAAATTTCATATTAAAAAAAAAAAAAAGCAGTGATAACCTGCTTTGGTACTGAGTAAATAAACAGGGAAGCCTCTGATGTTAAACTGAACTTGTTTGATTTTAAGGCCAAATAAATGAAGACTGTTTCTAAGAAAGACTCATGCTGTGTGCAGATAAAGAAGAACTCCTAAGTATTTTTATTGTTGCCTCCAGAATTGCACATAATCTAGAAGAAGATTTATCAAAAAACAAAAAACAAAAAACAAAAAACAACCGCCACCTTGCGTATGTTAAGATATTCAAGTAAAATAAAGTCATCAGTGTTCTAATTCATAGCTTTTTTTTCCCTTGAAAAGGCATATGTTTAAGCACCGGCTTCATTAGTTGGGGCTGTATTTTTCATATTTCTGTCAGAACTCCAGATAACTGACTTGAAAATACATGACTAATATAATACCATGAAGTTTAGGAAACTAGTAGTTCATTTCTGTTGAATTCCTTGAAACATCATTTGGAGTTAAAAATTCTTACGTTGGGGCATGGGGTTTTGTGTGTATGTTTTTGCTTTGGTATCTGTTACCTTGGAGAGTAAAAATTGGTTCCCAAATCTTTGTAGTACTACACTATAGCAGGAATCTCAGTGGGAAAAGACTCCTTTTTCGGTTCTCACTCTGTGCAGGTGCCCCCTGAAGATGGAAGGGTAATCACGTGGAATTCTCAGTATTTACTTCATTCATTCATTCAGTAGACATTGTTTGTATGCCTTTTATGGGCCAAACCATGTAACAGATGTAAGAAACAGGATGTAAGCTTGATCCTGTAAGCTTTCTGAGTCAGCTGCTTTCTGAGAAAAAGTAGTTTACAGTGGATCTGGTTTTAAGCTAAGAGCATGCACAAGAAACCAGAGGAGATTCACTTAACCCAATTTAGGGTCCAAAGAAGACATGTGGCCCAAATTCAGAATGACAGGAAGAGTTAGCCAGGGCAAGAAGGGAGGACAGAGAGAGAGCATGGGCAGAAATCTGCAAATGGTAGGTAAATTCAGTTCTTTTTGTAAGACTAGTTCACTAGTAAATAGTTACAATCTGTAGTAGTCATATAATAAATAAAATACTTATGGTTGCCTAATGTAGATGTATTAATTTTGGGTATCTTTCCTTGATGTATTTCTACACACTGTCTAGGCTCATTGTTTTCCTTTTTAATTTTGTACTTGTTATGGTCAGTGACTACATTCATTCTCTTGCCATATGTAATTTGTGTCTGTTTGGGTCTCCCCAAATGCAACTTCTTTGTTGCCTCAGAGGGGCAAATTGGAAAAAGTAAATTGGTAAAGGTAAATCTGGTCTTGACACATTCCTATTAAATCTTTAAGTAGCTCTCCTTTCCAGGAAGAAGTGCTAGTAGGACATGGTCTGGTCCCAGCTCCCTCCATCCTAAACCCTTATCCATGGGATGGCTTCCTTCCCAAGTGTTCACACTCAACCTAGACAGTGGTTCTGCAAACTTATCTTTATTCTCCAAAGCCTGTGTGCTAACTGGTGACCTTTCTACCATGTTCAGTTCATCAGTTTCTCTTCTCTGCTGCCTTTGTACCCTGGCCTGCTGGCTGTTGTATGAAGTCCACTATGCCAGAATTATTTGTTTACTCTCTGTTCCTGCTCTAAATTTGAGCTCTTTGATGCAGGACCTGTATCCTTCTGTCTTTGAATTTGTATGTTTATCACAGTAACTGTCATGTAATAAATAGTCATCATTTTACTTCAGCTGAGCAATGGTAATATTTAAACATATAGTTATTGTTACATTTACTGTCTGATAATTGTGACTGAAGAAAAAAGTGCATTAAGGCACTGTTTCAAACTTTTTACTTACTAAAACTCACTTAATCCTCATTAAAGAAAAAGGTTATTTTTACACTCATTAAAATTGTGAGGAAGAGTTTATTCAAGACTGTTGTAATAGAGGAGAGAGATTGGGTTCAATTCTGAACACAGGGACAAGTGGGGGTTTACAGCCAAGGAGCAGGGTGAAGAGGGTCAGTAGAGGGAAAATTACTATGAAGAGCCATCAGGGCAGGGATTCTTGCTAAAGGCAGGCCAAGACTCATCCATCAAAGGTTCGGGGATGAGGAACTTGATCACATATCGAGTGTGATCAAATGTCAAGGGTAGCGGGGCTCTCAAGAAACTAGCTTAGCAGGATTCTTGCTAAAATTGAGCTAGGCAGACTGAAGACCAGATGGGGCCAAAGCCAAGGCCTACTTGAGAGGAGGGCTTAAAGGAACTTGATTAAGGTGGGGTCAGGGAGAGTCT